TCTCTCTCTCTCGCTCGCTCTCCTTCTTCCTCTCACGCACCACGCATCCTTCCTCCTCCGCATCCCCTGCATGTCGCCCAATCCCCAACCCACTCCTGCTGCACATTCCATCGCCTTCCCTCCCTACAGAGGTCCCTCTCCCTCCCCTCGAGGACCCGGCTCAAAGGTCGCCCCACGGCGGCGGGCCGCGGCGGGGAGTCGCCCCGCCCCACCCAGACAGCCCCGCGGGTCGCTGGCGGCCGCGTAACGGGGTGACTCGGGGCATTTGCCCGCTAATTGTCAGAGGTGCTATTGAGTTGTCATGTCGGTATCGTTTATTTCGGCCGTTGCGTCATGTGCTGGCAACGCGACGGCCCGCCGCCGCCCGTCACCACCACCACGACGTGTATGGGGGGCACCGGGGCGGGCAGGGCGGGGCGGGGCGCAGCCTGCAGGTGAAACCCGACCGACACATGGCGCCGGGCTGAGGTAATCGCTCTGGAGTGAAGGGGGGTCCCGAAAACAGCCGCAGTGAGTCACCGAGTCGTTCACCGTGCGGAGCTAGCCGGAGCGTGTCCCGGAGCCGAGCCGGAGCCGGCCCCAAACGTGCGGGCAAAGGGACGTTTGCCCCTCCTTCCCTGACCCCCCTCCTCTCCTCGCTGTACCCTCTTTTCGAGTGATGTCACGATTAATCGGCGTGCAATTAGTACGATGGCCACGCGGACAGTATAGGGAATTCCATGGAAATTCCATCCGGCTCCCGTTCGTGCAGCACGCGGGGCTGGCCCATGCCTCCCTCTGGGCTGCATCCCCACAATTCGATCTCATTTCCTCAAAATCGAGTGGAGGAACTTACTTATCGAGTGTATCTGTATGCGCTGTCAAAAAATGTGGACCAAAAGTGCACCAAACGGGCAGGGAAGGGGGTATAGGCATAAACCCGCCCGTCACTTGTCTGTTCTCTCTGATACATCTGGCACACGAGATCTCCGCGAAGTAGTAATGAATCTCCTGGAATCTGACCAACAACATTGTCGCCATGTCGCTTATTGACACTACAGTATTACGAGTCCATAAAACGGCGAACCGGTTCGCGGGTGTGATCCGCCGGGAGCAAGAGCAAAGAACTCGCCGCAGTGGCAGAAAATTCCCGTCGAAAACACGGTCGAGTTTTCCCCCGTCCATTCTTTTCCTTTTCTTGAATTAATTCTGAAGTAGCCCATCGCATCGCATTCTGAAGTACGCACGGCCCGCAACCTCGAGTATGACACTCGAGCCCGGCGCGTAGGTACACTATGTGCGTCACGGCGTCTGCCCCGAACCTCTCGAGGAAATGCGCGCCGCGAATCTGAAAATGCGACACGGCTGCTATATGGACCGGGTCAAGACAAGAGTGGCCGACCGACAAGAAGTAGAAGTGTGTATGAGGGAGGAGCGGGGGGGGGGGGGGGGGGGGGGGGCGTCTGGCACGGCACCGCCGCTGCCGCCTGTTCCGGGAGATCTGACTCAAAGTTCGAACGGCGGCAGGGCGTCGATAAGCATGTGCCTCTATCGCTCAGTTTCCATCGAATAAAAAAAATCGAGTCAGGCCCCGCGGCCCTATTCACTAAAGTGACTCTGTGGGGGCGACTTGGGACGGGCAATCCATCGCGAGTTCCCCTGCATTGCACAGCGACCCACTCGACTATCATTTTTTTGCCCCGGGTCTCGTGTTTCCCACGCAGGATGGAAATGGCCGGTGACACGCCGCGCAAACTTTGCTCTAATCTCGAGTGTGGCGCGTCTCACGTCGCCCTTTTGTACTCGTGTGCTGGTCAATCATCCGACACGTTTTCCAAAAAAAGATAATAATGTTGAGAAGCTTAGCATGGCACCTCTTGGCTACACGGTAGACAAGTGCGACGACATTGGATTGCTCTGGCCTCCCGCATTGTTTATTTGTTTTTGCCCCCCCCCCCCCAACGCTCCTCCGATTCAAGAAAGTGGTCGATTCTGCGTTGCCGCGAGAGAGAGATTGCGAGGCGCCCCCGCCACCCGCCCTCGTATGAACTCGACGCTACCGACTTTGCACTCTCGGGAGCCTCGGAGGCGTTTGGTTGTGTTTATTGTGGGGACCGGCACACGACCCGTGGGCGGGGCGGGCGGGTCCGCGGGCGTGACAGCGTGACAGTTGTTAAATCTAGTTCATCCTTGCAAAGGCGTTACGAAACACAAGCGGGCGGGGCCACGGCTGCGGCCGCACGAGTGGACGAAGATCAAGAGAGAGAGAGAAAGGGGGGGGGGGGGAGCGCGAGATAAACCTTTTCAATGACCGGCGAATTGAGGCTGTTGCCCCCCTCCCCTCTATCGGGGTGACTCACTCGCGGCGGGCACACATAGTTGGGACGCGCTTTGTTGCATTTCCTTCCCGTTGGCGCCAC